AAAACCCCAAACCCCAAACCCCAAACCCCTAAACCCCTAAACCCCTAAACCCTCAAACCCCAAACCCTAAACGCTAAACCCTCAACCCCAAACCCCAAACCCCAAACCCCAAACCCTAAACCCTAAACCCTAAACCCTAAACCCTAAACCTTGCAGGTAGCCTTCTGACCGCACAGGAGGGCGCCATGAGACGAGGAGAGGACGAAGCCTCCATGCGCCGAGAGTTAGGGTTTAGGGTTTAGGGTTTAGGGTTTAGGGTTTAGGGTTTAGGGTTTAGGGCTTAGGGTTTAGGGTTTAGGGTTCAGGGTCTTATCACCAAGAGTCGAGAAGGGCTTGGGGTGTTTACGGTTTAGAGGTTTAGGGTTTAGGGTTTAGGGTTTTCCGAAACCCTCGTCCCAGAACCCTTCGAAGGTTCTATTTTGGGCTGGCTGGCGGTGTTCTTGAGACGAGCTTCGAAACCACAAGTTTCAGGGCGTATAGGGATTCAGTTTTTAGGGCTTCAGGGTTTGAGTTTAGCGGTGAAGTTCCTGCATGAGGCAAGAGCCCACTCACTCAAGCAGCCTTCAACAGCCTTCCGCAACTGTCAAACCGTACAGTACATCCTAAACCGTTGGCATTCGGAAGCGTTGGACCCTAAACCCTAAACCCCTAAACCCTAAACACTAAACCCTTTTCACAGCATGTTTAAACCCAGGTTTAGGGCTGTGTTAGGGAGCTGTGCTATCAGGATCCCGTATCCAAATCTTGACTAGCAGGGTAGGGTTTAGGGTTTAGGGTTTAGGGTTTAGGGTTTAGGGTTTAGGGTTTAGGGTTTAGGGTTTAGGGTTTAGGGTTTAGGGTTTAGGGTTTAGGTTTAGGGTTTAGGGTTTAGGGTTTAGGGTTTAGGGTTTAGGGTTTAGGGTTTAGGGTTTAGGGTTTAGGGTTTAGGGTTTAGGGTTTACGGTGTAGGGTTCAGGGTTTAAGGCTTAGGGTTCAGGGTTGGTTGAACATCTGTAACGGTTTAGGTCGTAGGGCTTCCTACTGAAACAGCTTCATCCTGAGCAGAGAAGAGAAGTGAGGAGGATGGGGGGTGGGGTTTAGTGTTTAGGGCTTATCGCTTTTTGTTTAGGGCTTACGGTTTAGGAGTGTATTCCCAGGTTCATGGAGACTTGGTCAGCTGGATCTGTTGGCAGCTGGTTGAGGGTTTAGGACTGTGACACGGAGGAAGACAGCAGAACTAGACGTTTTGCACATCTATGGACACCCATACTACGGTGCTTTTCGAAGCCGTCGTCTCGCCGTATGCCAACGTTCCTTGGGATGTTCCCCCCTAATACTAACAGTCCTTAGTAGGGATTATAATAGGGGGTACTATAATCCCGATTAAGGACGGTTAGTACAAAGGGGAACTTCACAAAACATGCCTTCAATTGACACAGTTGAAAAGGCAGGAGCCTTCTCCGCGAGACTCGTCCTCTTGCAGCGCGTCTTGCACATAGCCTGGCCCAGTCCCCTGGAACTAGAAAGTAGAAACCCGTCAAAGGTACCCTCAAAATACGACATAGGGTTTAGGAGTCTAAACTACCAGATTTGAGGGGGCTTCTACTTTACAAGCTGTGATTGCACGCGAGCTCGCAAACTATATTCTTCGTTCATGTCCCAGTCCCCTGACCCAAAAAGCAACGCAAAGCCCAAGCTCCAAGTGGCAAACCTTGAGCACCTAAACCCTAAACCCTCAAAAATCCAGAAATCCCTGGCCCTAAGCTCTAAACCCTGAACCTGCCTCAACTACTGAAATTCACAATTACACGAGCTCCAGAACCCCAAGCACAATCGCCCATTTGTAACCAAGGAAGGCCTGAACGCCCAGACCAAGTGTCGCGCGGCTGCGACAGGGTCGGGATCTGCGCAGCTTGAACCCTAAACCCTAAACCCTAAACCCCCCTAGACCCTAAGCCTAAACCCTAAACCCTAAACTCTTGGCCCTTGAGCGTCTTAGGGCCCCAAGTCCATCTGCTTTGAGAATATGCTCTACCACCTCGAACCCTAAACCCTAAACCCTAAACCCTAAACCCTAAACCCCACACCGATGATTCCTGCCCCCGAAAGGGTCGGAGCAGAAGCTGCGACTTGCCAGAACTTTGAGGGTAACTGCGGGTTTAGGGTTTAGGGTTTGGGGTTTAGGGTTTAGGATTTAGGTTTTAGGGCTTAGAAGAGATGGGCTCTTTCCCCCCCTTCCACAAACAAATAGCAGAGATTGTAAAGGGCAAATAATTCCCACCTCAAACCCCCAAAAGCCTTCAGGCGCCTTAGATTTTCTTTAGGGCTTAGGGCGTTTTCGGCTGAAGGCTTGCTAAGCAAGCTGCGCACCAGCGTAGCCCCGCAACCACATTGTGATAAGGGTTTAGGGATTAGGGCTTAGGGTTTAGGGTTTAGGGTTGTGTTGGTGACTTGAAAAAGGAACGCAGAACTAGAAGAGGGCACCGGCGTCCCACTGGTACCTCTTTGCCAGAAGTAGTCCTTCAATTTGGGGTATCTTGTTGTGGGGTCTCCTACTTGGCACCCCATGGCAGGCCCGGTATTTGGGGAGTATTTCCCCTAAACCCTAAACCCTCAACCCTAAACCACCCTAAGCCCTAAACCCTAAACCCTAAACCCTTAACCCTTAACCCTTACCCCTAGCACAAACCCCCAACCCCCCCCCCCCCCCCCCCCCCCGTTAAACCCCCAGCACCCTCAACCCTAACCCCATCCCACGAGCGAGTTCCCCCCCCCCAAAAAAAAAACCGAAGAATTGGTAAAACCAATACGTGGACGAAGGGGCCACTGTCACTCCACGCTTCTTCCATGCCTGGGGAGTTCAACGATTAGGGCCTGGGGTTTGGGTTAATGGTTTCTAACAGAACCCTAAACCCTCCAACCCTAGACCCTAAACCCTGAACCCTAAACCCCAAACCCCAAACCCTGAACCCTAAACCCCTAACCCTAAACCCCTAAACCCTGAACTCCAAGCCCAAAAAGCCTCCCCATGCTCTTTATTGGCGGCTCCCACCTCTCCTCCCAAAGGTATGCTAAGCACCTTCCCCTCAGTCTCTTGGGAATGGAGTCCCTCCCCTACACCCTAAACCCTAAACCCTAAACCCTAAACCCTAAACCCTAAACCCTAAACCCTGAACCCTAAACCCTAAACCCTAAACCCTAAGCCCTACTTACGGTTTCCCAAGCTCCTATGCGTCTTGCTTCCCAGCCAAGGAAGAAACGGGTAATCAAGCCATAACTTGCCAGTGTAGGGTTTAGGGTTTAGGGTTTCGGGTTTAGGGTTTAGGGTTTAGGGTTTAGGGTTTAGGGTTTAGGGTTTAGGACTTGCGAATCCACGAACCTCAGACCCTAAAGTCCAAACCCGCACACATGGGAGTTCACGAAATAAGGGACCCCGGACTACAATAGACCCCCAAATAGTAGGATTCTCTCATCACACGGACCCCAAGAAGGTACCCCAATGGTCGGAAACCCTAAACCCCAAATCCCCAGCCCAAACCCCAAACCCTCAAACCCTAAACCCTAAACCCTAAACCCTAAAACCCTAAAACCCTAAACCCTAAACCCTAAACCCTAAAACCCTAAACCCTAAAACCCTAAAACCCTAAATCCCCAAGAAAATTCGCAGCCGAGCTGCGTCGAATCGATCCGCGTAGGCCATGGCCGGCTCGGTCCTGGCAAGGGGGGCTTCAAAAGGTTTAGGGTTTAGGGTTTAGGGTTTAGGGTTTAGGGTCTTCACCTCCCCCACTCCCCTGGTGCCGCAGTAGACCCCTCAACCCTAAACCCTAAACCCTAACCCTAAACCCTAAACCCCAAACCCTAAACCCTAAACCCTATCACCAACCCTATCTCCTGGCGCCATAGTAGAGCCGGCAAGTCTTCCCTTTGAGCGCGTCCGACTCGATGACGGCCCTGCGGTTTAGGGTTTAGGGCTTATAGGTTAGTGTTTAGGGTTTAGGGTTCAGGGTTTAGGGTTTAGGGTTTGGGGTTTAGGGTTTAGGGTTTAGGGTTTAGGGATGGCGCCAACCACTCGCCCCAACAGCATAGTCCCTTCATGAGTTTTCCCGACAGAGCGGCCCATATATATCAGAACCATGTTAAGGGCCCCTGAAACTCCCCCTTAGACTGTAAACCCTGAAGCCTAAAGCATATAAACCCTAAGCCCCACTAAACCCCACTAAACCCCTAAACCCCTAAACCCCTAAACCCCTAAACCCCTAAACCCCTAAAGCCCTAAACCCTAAACTCGCCCCTTGAGTCTATGTCAAAAAAAAAGTGAATACTTTTTTCTAGTTTTTGGGTTTAGTGTCACTTTAGGTGTAGGGCATAGGGCTCAGGGGATGCGAGCTGTTTTCTCTCTCGCAACTTCCATGCTGCCACCAGCCGGCGAGCTCCTGCAAGAGTTGGGTTCAGGGTTTAGGGTAGAGGGTCTGCAGCAGTTGGGTTCAGGGTTTAGGGTAGGGTCTGCAGGAGTTGGCTTCAGGATGGTCTAGGGACCCATTGAAGTAAACCCAGACCCCGAGCCCTAAACCCTGGCCGTCCCTCACTGGGTTTTTCTTGGGGTTTAGGGTGTATAGGGTTTAGCCAAATGGGTTTAGGGACCCATTGAAGTAAACCTAGACCCCGAGCCCTAAGCCCTGGCCATCCCTCACTGGGTTTTTCTGGGCGTTTAGGGTTTATAGGGTTTAGCCAAATGGGTTTAGGGACCCATAGTCATTGAAGTAAACCTAGACCCCGAGCCCTAAAGCCTGGGTTTTTCTGGGGGTTTAGGGTTTATGGAAGCAGGCGAAGCCTCGAATACCTTTTTCTGCAGTCAAAAACTCGGATCCAAGCACTCGTCTCAGAGACGCTTAGCTTTGCATGTCAGCAACGGCCCGGGCAGCAGATCTACTAAAGTAGGGTTACAGGTTTAGGTTGAGCACACTTAGCCACCAACACCCTGCCGGGCGGCCGGGGACACGCAGCAAATCAACTTTGGAAAATCACTCAGCTCCGTTCTCCGACTCGTTTGCCACGCTCGCCGCGCTCTCCACGCTCGCCGCGCTCGCCGTGCCGTCTCCGCGGGTCGCCGCGCCTGCTGCCACATTGCCGGCTCCGCCCATCGTCTCATCCATGATTTTCACCATTGTCTTGGCATCTCGCAGCAGCGCAGTTTCCTCGGCAGAGTTGTCGACCTTCCCAGCAGCATCCTTGCGAGCATCGCCGTACTCGTAGAGGAACCATCGAAGCTCGTCCATGTGATTGCCCATGTCTGCACTGAGCTTCTTCATGCGCTTGGCACGGGACTCGGTGTCCACCTCGCTCATCACCTCAGCCTGGCGCTTGGTCGTTAACGTTGTCATCATCACGCTCACTTGCACCGTGCCAGTGCTTGGCGGCAGCTGGTCCCCGGGAGCATACCAAAAGGCCTCGGGTTGTGGGTTTAGGGTTTTTGGGTTTTTGGGTTTAGGGGTAAGGGTTTAGGGTTAAGGTTAACAAAACCAGCACCAGCCCCAAAAACTGCTTTACATATTCTATACTTTGGTCAGGACGCCGCAATGGGCGACTTCTCGATGTGGATGAACTTCCCGACGGGCCCCTCATTGCGCCCAAACACCTTGAGCATGTACCTGGGCAGCACAGGTGCTTTAATTTCGTTTGGGGCAACGCGTTTGCGATTTTAGGCTCTAGAGCGTTTAGAGTTTTGACTAAATGGCCATGACGGCGGGCATGGTTTGGGGATTTAGGGATTTAGGGTTTAGGGCTTAGGGTCGTGTCCAGCGGCTTCTTCCCCGGCAGGTCTTCTGGCTCGGTGACCCAGAGGAGCATTGCCAAAGGCTCAAGACGTGGCCACAGGATCGCAGCTTCGTTCACTGTCTCCAGGTGGGTTTTCAGGTGCCTCCCACGAGCAGCTTACACCCTGCCTAATGAACCCAACCTTAGGGCTAAACACTTTTTTATGCAATGAGACCGACCTCTTGAGCAAAGTCTCCACACGCCGCGTCTCCGCTGAGCCAGCCATGTACCATGTGTACACCGTACTCTTCGGATCATCGATCGGAACGCACACCACGTCCAGCTTGACCTTTGACACCTCGATGTTGGCCCAGCTACACTCGCTGAAATCCAGCTGTGGCACCTTCATGGTGCCAGAATTGGTCAGGATGACTGTGCGATCCTCGACTCGGCCCTGCATAGCCTCCACAGACAGAGAAATGATGGAAAAAACCTTGCTCGTCAGCAAGCTGTACGCCACCATGCTTGTCTTTGGCTTCTGCAGCTTCGCAGACCAATCCACACCAACCCTCAGGACTACTGTCAGGGTTGGGTTTCGCAGGATTGGGCTTCGGGTTGGTCGAGGGTTTCAGGTTCCGGGCTTAGGGTTATCCGCAGCCAGGTAACTTTCGGCCAACGTGCTTGATCTGGTCCTTGATGGCAGCCTCCATGGAAACATGGAACTCGAGGTTCTTCATGTACATCTCCAGGCTGCCGCTGCTGGTCATGGCATGGAACCAAGTCTGCGCCATTGTGGCCAAGCGCAGCGGTGATCCCGAGGCTCACTTGATTGGATGTAGGCGCTACGGACACGCGTCATCGGTCCATGTCTACCACATGACACTCAACCCAAAGCAACACCCAAACCCTGAATCATCAACGCTACGCAGCCTCTCATTCCTTAAAACGCTCTAGAAGTACTCATGGGGTGCCTGATTGTTCTCACGGCCTCACCACGCCCACGCCCCCAAAAGCACAGAAGCCCCTCAGAAACTTTAGGTTGGTTCAGGTTTTTGAACTTGGATTTGGTCTTCTGGTTTGGAGTGTGGTGACAACTCATGTCGCTGCCCTGATGAGGGGTTAAGGCTTTGGGTTGCCCTAAACCCTAAACCCTAAACCCTAAACCCTAAACCCTAAACCCTAAACCCTAAACCCTAAACCCTAAACCCTAAATCAAAACACTAAACCCTAAACCGATATAAACCTATAAGGCCCAAACCCTGAACCCTAAAACCCTAAACCCTAATCTCCCCTGCAATAAACCCTCAGGGACTATTGAAATTGCCTAGCGCCTACCCGAAAACACCAGGCCCTCAAGCAAAGTCCTCTCCAGGATGCCAATCCGGACGCGCAGGGTTGCCGGGCAGCTGCTGGCAAGGTCACCTCCACGCTTTTGGTTTGGGGTCTTGGCTTCAGGGTGAGGGACCTTGTCCATCATGACTGTTACTGAGATGATACTAAAACCCACCCCCCCCCCCCAATTCTGAAATTCGCTTGGGCCGGAAAATATTTAAGGCGGGGCCAAAACCCTGAAACCGGAAAACCAGGCCCAAGGAGGGAGTCTGCGGTTCGGGGCTTGGGGTTTAGGGTTCATTTAGTAGCTTAATAAACCCGAGTGAAACCCTCGAAGCCCTCAGCCCTAAACCTTGAAACCCCCTCAACCCCCCCCCCCATTATCACAGGTTTGGTAATGGGCTGGGTGCTGGTGCGGTCCGGGACAAACAATATTTAGAATTAGGGGGGTTAGTATCAGGGGAAGGGATTAGACACATGAACGCTTCTCTCATGTTGATGGTTGATCTTGACTTACACGATTAATCTACTGTCTTGCGCTCAGGGGGAAGGGCGTATCTGTGCTCTCCAACCCCAACCCTCGCACGCTCTTTCGTAGCGCTGCGCCCACCCATCACTTCTCGCCTTTGCCATTGCTCAGATGGCCTTGCATGTTCTGGTACACGCTGTCGGGATCCCGTCACTTCTCGCCTTTGCCATTGCTCAGACGGCCTTGCAGGCGCTGGTACACGCTGTCGGGCACGCCATCTGTTTCGATGCTCTCAACACACTGCTTCCAGTTGTCAGCCGGAAGCTCGGAGATATAGCCGGCCCACAAGAAGACCTGCCGCAGCACCCTTTCCAGCACACAAGTGGGTATGCTGTTGCCCAAAGCTCGCCCAAGCTGAGAGTCGCTGACCCCCGACGTCGCCATTGCGTTCCAAATGCCAGGCATCACTCCTCCACACATGCAGCGGAACCAACGGTAGTGGTAGTGGTAGTGGTAGCAGTACGTAGTACTAGAAGGAGTAGTAGTAGTAGTCCTTGAAGGCCTGCCATCTCTCGCAAGGTCATAAATCGGTGTCGCCCTGGAAGGTAATACCTGGCTTGGCAGGCGGGGGCCATGACATCAGGGGTTCAAGTGCTCTAACTTAATGCCAGCCCAAAACCCCTAGAAGCGGACGAGACCATGACAACCAACCCCCTAGAAGCGGACGAGACCGTGACGGCCCAAAATCCCCAGGGATGAGGCGAGCGACGCCCGAGAGGCTCCTCTGGTCGCTGTCACGGTTGGCACCATGCCCACAAGAGCTCGAGCATGCTGCCCTGCTCCCACATCCACGACAGCGTCGCGGTCCCTGAGCCGCTTTCCAAGTTTCTGCTTTGCCTGCGCAATGGGTTTAAGGTTTAAGGTTTTAGGGTTTAGGGTTGAGGTAGGAATGCATACCCACAACAGCAGCAGGAGTACCAGGTAGTAGTAGTAGTAGTAGTAGTAGTAGTAGTAGTAGTAGTAGTAGTAGTAGTAGTAGTAGTAGTTGTCGTCGTAGTTGTGTCGTCGTCGTAGTAGTAGTTATAGTAGTAGTAGTAGTAGTAGTAGTAGTAGTAGTAGTAGTAGTAGTAGTAGTAGTAGTAGTAGTAGTAGTAGTAGTAGTAGTAGTAGTAGTAGTAGTAGTAGTAGTAGTAGTAGTATTAGTAGTAGTAGTAGTAGTAGTAGTAGTAGTAGTAGTAGTAGTAGTAGTAGTAGTAGTAGTAGTAGTAGTAGTAGTAGTAGTAGTAGTAGTAGTAGTAGTAGTAGTAGTAGTAGTAGTAGTAGTAGTAGTAGTAGTAGGTGACACGCTCTTAACTGATCATGGTGTTTTCTGCTGTTTTTTTACTTTTTCTATCGTTTTCTCCTGTTTTTCCTCCGTTTGACGGGTTGGGGGGGGGTGGGGGGGTGGGGGGTAATTACGTGCTGTGCTTTGTGCACACATGACCACGCTC